TAACCTGTCATGGACGGAGCGCAGGCGGTGCTGCATCTGACTTTTGACAGGTAGGTTACACAGCAGCGGGCTTCCCCACTGCTTGTGCAACCTAATATAGTGAGGCAAAATCTGTCACAGCCTCTACTCTTTGTTAGAGGCGTGAGCTCTGTGGATGGCTTGGACCTATGGCAAAGCGCCAGTGGTCCAAGCTGTCCAATCAAAAAAAACAAAACACTGAGGCCATCGATCTCGATGCTTCAGCAATGACGAGCAAGTGAGGCATGTAGGCTCCTCCCTGTTTCCTCCTTCACACTAGCTTGGGGGTGGTACTTGCTGGGGAATGCCTCACCCGGAACCAGAGTACCGCACGTCACTGGTTAAAAGGTTTCATGAGTGAAAAATGAGAAATGCTGCTTGATGGTTTATTCTATACATAGTAGATGTGATTTTTGGCAGCTTGAAAGCCACCGTTTTTGCTCCTGTTGTACTGCTGCCCACTGCTGGTCTAGTACCAATACTGGACTTTCTCTGAGACTGGCTTATCAAAGCTGTATAAGAGGGGATTCCTTGGCTTGACATTAGCCAATTCAAGTATTTATACAGTCGTAAAGTGTATTTCTACTTTTGCAGTACATTTGAGAAGTCATTTTTTTATGTTGGCTATGTATTCCTATTTACACAGCATACTGAGAACTTTTTTTGCAGGGCAGGGTCACATATCCCATGCCAGTAAAACACTTTGTGCTCGTTTTTTTTTAATTTGCTGCAACTGTCTGATGCTAAACAAAAAACACCTCCAAAGGGGTTTAAGAGGGGATCTTTGAAAAGCACTATCTGCAGTATATTTTCAGTAACTTAAAAGCACTCTGAAGCCTATAAACTAGAGATACACTGAATTTTCAGCAGAAAAAAAGTACAATTGTTTTTTTGCCTGTGTAGGGAGTGGAAAAACTCCTTTTCCCACAATGCTTTGCTTTTCTCGTGCACGTTCATCATTAATATTCATAGTGGTACCTACCCCTGGGCCGTGCAGAGTGACTGGGAGATGTGACTACAGTTGGAGGATTGTTGTGATTGCTAAAAAAATCTGTTATATTTTGTCTCCAGTAATCGCTCAGAACAAAATATAACGGATTTCTTTTATCAATCACAACATTCATCCAACTATATTCGCAGGTAAAATAAAACGTATCGTGGTCACTCTGCACTGTCCCTGGAAAATATGTATATAATGTGATTTATACCGCGCTGTGAAACTGATATTCCCCCCCCCATGTTCAACTAAATCATTCCAAGTCATCCACATTGTACATATTAAACACAATCCAATGTGCCACACAAACAGGTGAATGTGTTAACTATATATAAAAGACGCCGCACATTCCCCGGTGGCACTGCACCTCTCTCCGGTCAGACCTGCAGAGCCTTGATACAGAAGGACTGAAGAAAAGCTTGGACCAGGGTTGAGATTGCTTATGAGCTCTGCATAAGTAACATCAGGACAAAGTGAAAACAGGTTTGTTCATTTTCTCTTAACACATATTGAATATAAACTAGCGGAAGGCCCAATCTGTGCTGAAAAACACACCAAAAATCACGGCTATTAAAGATATTGACTAGAGATTACCCAGACTCCTCTCTAGAAGTGTCATTTTCTATAGGACAATTAAAGATTGGCTCTGGTTGCATTGGCATGTGGAAAAAAAAAAAAGCTGCCGTCAGGTCAAGGGTTTTATTTTAGGGATGCACAGATACCTTTTTTTTCTTTTCCTTTTTAAAGACAAAGTACTGATTCTTTTCTTTTCCTCAAGTTCTCGCCAATACCAATTACCGATATCCTTTTTTATTTTGTGTGTGTTGTGACTGTTTTTCCAAAACAATACAGGCTAATGATTTTAGGACCGTGCTAGAGCGCCTGGCCCCTGGCTGCAACCATTGCCACCCTGGTAGTTCTGCCACTGACTTCAAGCTGTAGAGCTGGGGTGAAAGTCCTATCATGCATCTGTCAGTCTTGCAATGCCTTGTGGGATTCGTAGTTCCACAACAGCTGGGGGGCCGGAGTTTACTCACCCCTGTGGAGGGACTACAGATTCCAGCAATCCATTATAAAGCAATATATGCTCACTCCTGTAGATGGACTACAGATTCCAGCAATCCATTATATAGCAATGCAGAATACCACCAGCTATAGAGGACTACAAATCCCAGCAATACATTTTAGAGCAATGCAGAATAATATGAAGCTACATACTGTGTTGCTCACCAGGGCTGTGCGCAGATTTTACCATGGCTGTGCAGGTGGCGAGAAGAAGGAGATGTTCGGCCGGCTGGCGCTGTAAACGGGCGCCGCAAGGTCCCCAGCAACTATAATCGTAGCTGTTGATACCTACAGAAAGTATTAGTATTGTCAAGATTATTATAATTTGTAGTACTATTTAATTATTGTCATATAATAAATGTTTGGGAGTCCATAAACAAACTATGAAGGGGCTCATGAGCTGAAGTGTTTGGAGAACCCTACTTTAACCCTTTTGCTTCCACCAATGTAAGGCTTACACTGACATCAGCAGGGACCTGTAAACAGATTACAGCAGTTTGTTTGGACACTGGGGGAGCTGTGCCCTGTATTGTGCCTGCCTCTCTTTCCCCTGATTGTGTGTGGGATCAGTGTGGACACTGGGGGGAGCTGTGCCCTGTATTGTAGCTGCCTCTCTTCCCTCTGATAGTGTGTGTGATCAGTGCGGACACTGGGGGGCGCTGTGCCCTGTATTGTGGCTGCCTCTTCCCCCTGATTGTGTGTGGGATCAGTGTGGACCCTGGGGGGAGCTGTGTCCTGTATTGTGGCTGCCTCTCTTCCCCCTGATTGTGTGTGAGATCAGTGTGGATACTGGGGGGAGCTGTGCCCTGTATTGTAGCTGCCTCTCTTCCCTCTGATTGTGTGTGGGATCAGTGTGGACACTGGGGGGCGCTGTGCCCTGTATTGTGCCTGCCTCTCTTTCCCCTGATTGTGTGTGGGATCAGGGTGGACACTGGGGGGCGCTGTGCCCTGTATTGTGCCTGCCTCTCTTTCCCCTGATTGTGTGTGGGATCAGGGTGGACACTGGGGGGCGCTGTGCCCTGTATTGTGCCTGCCTCTCTTCCCCCTGATTGTGTGTGGGAGCAGTGTGGACACTGGGGAGCTGTGCCCTGTATTGTGCACGCGTCTCTTCCCCCTGATTGTGTGTGGGATCAGTGTGGACACTGGGGGGAACTGTGCCCTGTATTGTGCACGTGTATCTTCCCCCTAATTGTGTGTGGGATCAGTGTGGACACTGGGGGAAGCTGTGTCCTGTATTGTGGCTGCCTCTCTTCCCCCTGATTGTGTGTGGGATCAGTGCGGACACTGGGGGGCGCTGTGCCCTGTATTGTGGCTGCCTCTCTTCCCTCTGTGTGTGGGAGCAGTGTGGACACTGGGGGAGCTGTGTCCTGTATTGTGCACGTGTCTCTTCCCCCTGATTGTGTGTGGGAGCAGTGTGGACACTGGGGGGAGCTGTGCCCTGTATTGTGCCTGCTTCTCTTCCCCTGATTGTGTGTGGACACTGGGGGGCGCTTTGCCCTGTATTATGGCTCTCTCTTCCCCCTGATTGTGTGTGTGATCAGTGCGGACACTGGGGGGTGCTGTGCCCTGTATTGTGCCTGCCTCCTATTTCCCCTAATTGTGTGTGGGATCAGTGTGGACACTGGGGGGAGCTGTGCCCTGTATTGTGCACGTGTCTCTTCCCCCTAATTGTGTGTGGGATCAGTGTGGACACTGGGGGGAGCTGTGCCCTGTATTGTGCCTGCCTCTCTTCCCCCTGATTGTGTGTGGGATCAGTGTGGACACTGGGGGGAGCTGTGCCCTGTATTGTGGCTGCCTCTCTTCCCCCTGATTGTGTGTGGGATCAGTGTGGACACTGGGGGGAGCTGTGCCCTGTATTGTGGCTGCCTCTCTTCCCCCTGATTGTGTGTGGGATCAGTGTGGACACTGGGGGGCGCTGTGCCCTGTATTGTGGCCGCCTCTTCCCCCTGATTGTGTGTGGGATCAGTGTGGACACTGGGGGGAGCTGTGCCCTGTATTGTGGCTGCCTCTCTTCCCCCTGATTGTGTGTGGGATCAGTGTGGACACTGGGGGAAGCTGTGTCCTGTATTGTGGCTGCCTCTCTTCCCCCTGATTGTGTGTGGGATCAGTGCGGACACTGGGGGGGTGCTGTGCCCTGTATTGTGGCTGCCTCTCTTCCCCCTGATTGTGTGTGTGATCAGTGCGGACGCTGGGGGGCGCTGTGCCCTGTATTGTGGCTGCCTCTCTTCCCTCTGATTGTGATCAGTGCGGACACTGGGGGGCGCTGTGCCTGCCTCCTCTTTCCCCTGATTGTGTGTGGGATCAGTGTGGACTAGGGTTGCCACCTGTCCTGGATTCACCCGGACAGTTCGGGTTTTGAATGCTCTGTTCGGGTTTCATTGCAGCAGATACCCGGACACAAGGTGTCAGGCAGACCAGGGGCAACCAAAATTAAGATAGGGGCTACTGGCCCCCCACTGGAAATAGTCTCACCTGTAATATTTGCATATGAATGGGTGGCGCTATTTAGATATGAATAACCCACGACTAATTCTCCCCAAAAAATGTCTGCGCGTCTCTAGAGGGTTCGGGTTTCTCTTGAAGTAAAGGTGCCAACCCTAGTGTGGACATTGGGGGGAGCTGTGCCCTGTATTGTGGATCCCTCCTCTTCCCCCTAATTGTGTGTGGGATCAGTGTGGACACTGGGGGGAGCTGTGTCCTGTATTGTGGCTGCCTCTCTTCCCCCTGATTGTGTGCGTGTGTGGACACTGGGGGGCGCTGTGCCCTGTATTGTGCCTGCCTCTCTTCCCCCTGATTGTTTGTGAGATCAGTGCGGACACTGGGGGGCGCTGTGCCCTGTATTGTGGCTGGCTCTCTTCCCTCTGATTGTGTGTGGGATCAGTGTGGACACTCGGGGAGCTGTGCCCTGTATTGTTCTTGCAGCTGTTCAGAAGGAGGCAGCATTGCTCGTCTACACCCCTCCTCCAGGGATAGCTGGCTTTGGAAATCCTGTTAGTAAAGCCGTTCCGACAATGGCGACCCCGAGGCAGACCCCATCCCCCTGCCTATATACCGGTCCTACACATTAATGGCAGCGGACCCCCTGGGGTAGGACTACAGACGGCACTAAGAACGGCGGAGACTGAAGCGGACACCGGGAGGTGTGATCTGAGAGATACAACAACGTGAGCTGCACACACAACACACAGGGATCTCTCACTGAGGAAAGGTAACACAAAGAGGACCAGTCGCTGTGCTCCATCAGACTACACACAGGGTGACAGGGACAAGGGACCAGAAGGGGGAGGTCCAGACAAGG